AAAAAAATATTTTTGAAAGAAAATGATAAACATTTCCATGGTTATTAAAAATCAGTTCAAAAGCGTGGAGAAAGGATTTCCATGTTTACCAATGTAACTCTAGTGCTTAAACACTGCCTGACACATAAACAATATTCAGTAAGCACCTGTTGGATGATAAAAGAAAAATAACTGAGAAGGCACAGTTTCAGAAACATCTTGTAGTACTATGTGGAGTTCAGAATATTTTCTAAAAATGAGGAACTATATCTGGTATATTACCATAGTCCTGAGCCAAGACTACGAACACAGAACAGATCAACACATGTTGGGTAAATGGCACGCCTTCCTCAAACATTTCGTCCTAGTCAGTAAAGGCAAAGCACAAATCCCACTTTTACAAAGGTTTCCTTTCTACTCTCTCCTGAGTGAATAATCCTTTAAAACTCATTACCATCCACCTAGGTAAGTGAAGTAACTCAGAGTCATCTTTTCCTGCCTTCATCTTCAAACTCCTCGCACCTAGCTCACTCAGCAAATCCCATGACCCCTTTTAAAAGTACCTCCAAATCTCACCATCTCCATTCCGATCCAAGCTATCACCAACTCTCTTCCAAATTAAGGCCCCATTCTCCTAACTGACTTGCCCACTTCCATCCTTGCTCTGTGAGAGCAAATGGCCTTTCTACCTTCTAGAAATCTAAATACACAAACAAGCAGAACCAATCGGATCTTGGCTTGCTTTCTCCATAATCAACCTCTAGATACTGTATGGCTTTACTACTGCTGTCTGGTTAATGTACCAAAGCGTGGTGTGTGTGTGTGTGTGTGTGTGTGTGTGTGTGTGTGTGTGTGTGTGTGTGTAAAATATATTAAAGGGAAATGCATAGTACTAATGCAAGCTCTGCTGGAATGAAAATATATATATATATATATGTGCAAAACCCCCATACATATCAAATTAAAATAATAAATCTTTACAAAAATATCATTCCCAACAAACCTTGGCAATCGTTGAGATGTTTCTGTGTGTGTGCTAGGGTAGGAGGGAGTTAAAGTCTTTCTATGTAGCCCATGCTTACTTTAAGCTCACTATACAGTCCAGACTAGCCTCAAACTTGTCTTCCTCTTACCCAGTCTCCCAAGTGCTAAGATTATCACTCTTGATTGTGTTTTACTATGTTTATGATCCACTTAAGTATGTCTGTCTTATTTAACTTTTTTAGTTCCCATGTTACATTCTTCCATTCCAAAGACCGTATCATACATCTGTTTATATTTCAATAACTCTTAGGACAAAAACACTAAATTACTTTTCTTCGTAGACAGTGCCATTTGAATAATTTCCAAACACACAGTAAAAAGTAGGCCTTATTGTTAATTTTCTTTATGTGACTGTTGGGAGAGGTCTTCCCTGGAACTGGAGTTACACTAGAAGTGGGTGCTGGGAATCAACCTCTAACAGAGCAGCAAGAGCTCTTAACCACTGAGCCATCCTGCCAGCTCCAGTGTATTCTTTCCTTTTGCTGGCAATGTGTGTGATATATGTTGTCTGTGTGCACAATTTCATCTGTGTACACGCTCTTTTATGTGCACGCAGGCAAGCACATGCTGCAACACATTTGGAGCTCCAAGGACAACCTCTGGTGTTGGTCCTTGCTCTCCACCTTACTTGAGACAGGGTCTCCTCATTGTTCATGGATGCATACTCCAGGTTACCTGGCCCTCGAGCTTCGAGGGTTTCTCTTGTCTTTGCCTCCCATCATGCATTAGGAGCACTGGGATTATGGAAGCATGCCACTATGGCAGCTTTACATGAGTTCCGGGGATTAAAGTCAGGTTCTCACAGGTGCACAGCAAGCGCTTTTACCCACCGAGCCGTCTCCCCATCCCTGGCCACAGTCCTTCTGAATGGCTAACTCCTGACAGAGGCAGCATACTTACTTCTGGCATTTGCTTTGTCTGCATCACTCAGACATAAGTCATCCTTGGCGTCGGTGCTTCCCTCAACACCGTGTCTCAGGAAAAACTCGGTGTGACTGTCATCAATTCCAATCTCATCATCTAGCTCATATTTCTGTAGCCCCTCTAACAGTTTCACTGCTGCCAAATGGGCAAATCTGTAGAAAGGAATTAAAAATTAACCAGATTCCCAAACTGCCATACATTTAAACTGCAGTTCATACTTAACTCGGGCAATTCCACCATATATGCACTTCTATCTACCCACCACCAAGCAAGGAAGCAAACCTGTAGCTTAAGGTCAGTGAAATCTGATGTACACTCAGCTATGTGGGAATCTCAGCTACTGACTACTATAAAGTACTCATACTGAGAAGTGATCCCATAAGTGCTGCTGCTAAAATATACTGGGAGAAGAGATTCCATAGTAGAAGAATATTTGCTGTGCCTCCAAACAGAATGACTCTAGTGAATACAGAGCCCAGAACCATCCTACTTGATTCTCTATTTTATTGCCTTTTCTTAGCCCAAGATAGGTGACAGAATTAATTCTGGTTCCAGTTTTCAAGTTACCTATAGTTCTTACCATACTTACTCTTCATCCTTCAACCCAAAGCACCTGGCTTGGTTTTAAAACTGAAAGGAACAATATGACCTTTCCTTCTGTTGTCTATTCTCTTTGCTCTTTCTCATATTTCACAAAGCCTGTACTAATCAATTTTTGATCTCAGAAACTTTTCTGTTGTGAATGAATGGAACAAGCATACTTTCCCACAGTGTTGTTAACTGAACTATGATGTGATACTGTCTTCTAGGACATGGAGACTCACCACACACTAAACTCTATTTTCCACACTGTAATAGTGTGAATGTGCAGTATTTCCAGACACTCATGTTTTGAACGCCAGCTCAGGTTCCCAGCTTGTGGTGCTATGTGGAAGGCCTTTAAGAGACAGAGCCTGGCTAACAGACATAGGTGGCTAGGGAAAAGGCTTTGAAGATTATACCCACCCCTAGAGAGCCAGAACTGTCTGCTTCCAGCTTCCCAGCATGTGAGCAACCACCAACACATGCTCTCACTACCATGCCTCGGCTGCCAAGCCTTCCTAAGTGTGATGAGCTGAGATTCTCTGAAACTCTGAGCCCAAATAAGCCTTTCTCCTCTCAAAAAACCTCTAGGTATTTTGGCTACAACAATGCAAAAACAAACAAACAAAAACTAATACATCCATATTTTTAACACACATTTATACATATTACATTCTTATTTTTTATCAGGTACAGCAAGTAAATTATTAAAGAACTATCAATATGGCTGACTTTGCAGCTGGGTGGTAGAGCACTTGCCTAGCATGTACAAGTACCTAGGTAATAAATTTATAGAGAGAGTTGTGTGGCTGACAAAAGAAAAGGGCAAGTATGGTAGACTGGAGACAGCCAGAACATTCCTGTATATCTACAAGATTAAAAAAGAACACTAGGTGTGTGGCTGCAGGTGTGTACAACTGTTAGTGACCAGGTCAAACTGAGACATACTGTACTTTCAATTATGAAAGAAGCAAAGAACTGTAGCACTGACTGCTAGGCAGCACAGTGGGGACAAGGACAAAATTCCCCTTGACGCTTTAAGAACAGGAGAGAAGAGAACCTGGGCAAGCCCCGCAGGTGCACAGTCTGTGCGGAATGAGTTTAAGACGGCATCTAGAGCCATAGTACAGGCAGGCCCAGGAGAGGGCCCTGCACTTGCTAGTTTGCTCAGTGTGCTCTGAGCAATCATCTTGAGAGAGATGCCACCACCAAACCTAAGGCTTGAGCCGGGCAGTGGTGGCACACACCTTTAATTCCAGCACTTGGGAGGCAGAGGCAGGATCTCTGAGTTCAAGGCCAGCCTGGTCTACAGAGCAAGTTCCAGGACAGCCAGGACTACACAGAGAAACCCTGTCTAGAAAACAAACAAACAAAACCTAAGGCTTGAGGAACTAGATGCCCTGCACCTTGATCCCTTGAAGTGCCAAGAGCCTCTCTTTACTAGCTCTGTAAGTGCTTACTGCAGGAGACAATGTGGGCCCAAGAAACTGGCTGCGACGTGGACACACATGTATTGACATAGCCCTCCAAGGCTAGGAAATGCATGCAGAGGGAAACGGCACTTCCTTTTGGAAACGGTGGCCTGAAACTAGCAGTTGGTGGCTATAAGCAGAGGCTGGAGCATAGACTAGCACTGTCAGAACAGACAGGATTACTCAGTGCCCGTATATCATACCCTTGGTGCAGACTGTGTGGGTCTGATCACCTTCTCCACTCTCAGCGCCCCGAGAGACAAATGGTGGAAACACTGCCGTAGCTTTGGTATTCCCCATGCCTGAGCATGCATTGGTGGTGCGCTGCCCCTGTACATGGGGGCGCTGCTCCTGTATGTACTTGCTCAAGTGCTAGGTTAACTACAGAGATCACAGGCGTGAACTGAGCCAATGGTGGTCACTGTCTTAGCCCTTGGTCCGCTTAGTTAGGCTCAGAAGGGCTCAGCCTCCATACATTTCTTTCAGGTTCAACCTGTTTGGAATAGAAAGAAAAACAACTTGCCGCCCACCTCTCCAACCCCAGTACATGTTAGAAGCAGCAGCTTGGGAGAGAAACACCAACTATCTCCCACCTGCTTACAAGAAGGAACTAAGGATGGCTACTTGAGTTTGTTTTGGTTTTGTCTTCCTTTTTGTTTAGAGACAGGTGTTGTGGAGTATTAGTTTAAAATGTGTTACATTCGTTTATGCTGTGGAATATTGGTTTAATGATGCAAAGATGTGATATATTCTTTTTTTAAGATTTATTTATTTATTATGTATACAGTATTCTGCCTGCATGTGTCCCTGGAGGCCAGAAGAGGGCACCAGATCTCATTACAAGTGGTTGTGAGCCACCATGTGGTTGCTGGGAATTGAACTCAGGACCTCTAGAAGAGCAGTCAGTGCTCTTAACCACTGAGCCATATCTCCAGCCCAAAGATGTGATATATTCTTTTATGTTTCGTTTGTTTAACTCTGTAAAGCTGTGTTACTTTGCCTGTCTAAAAACATCTAATAAAGAGCTGAATGTCCAATAGCTAGGGAGGAGAAAGGGATTGTGGGGCTGCCAGGCAGAGAGAATAAATAGGAGAAGAAATCTAGGCTTGAGCTAGGAACATGAAAAGGAGGAGAGGAGGACGCCAGGGGCCAGTCTCTCAGCCACACAACCAGTCATGGAGTAAGAAGGGAAGAAAGACATAGAATAAAGAACGGTTAAAAAGCTCAGGGGCAAAACATAGAAGAGAAATGGGTTAATTTAAGTTAGAAATGCTGACTAGAAACAAACAAAGCTAAGGCCGGGCATTCATAAGTAAAAATAAGTCTCTGTGTATTTATTTGGAAGCTGAGCGGCGGGGCTCAAAACACACACACACACACACACACACACACACACACACACACACACAATCACAGACAGGGTCTCACTGTGTAGCCCTGGCTGATCTGGAACTCACTATATAGAACAGGCTGGCCTTGAACTCTACAGATATTTCCCATTCCTGCCTTCAGAATAGTGGGTATGTACTACCATGCCCATCTCAGTTTTTTTAACTGCTTTATTTTCTTTTCCCTGTTATTTCCCATACCTTAATTACACATACCTCTCCTCTATTGCCAATCTTCATGCTACTTTTCCCTTACTCATATTCCCCACTTTATTAATATTTTACCTGAATTAAATTTTAATATCCTAATTTACTCTATAAATTACCCTATTTGTCCTTTTTTATTCTTCTTGGGGATATATTTCTTATTTCCTTTTTTATATTTTACTATATTTAAATATTAGGTTAGGTATATGGTGGCACATGCCTACAGTCTTAGCACTTAGGAAATGAATGCAGGAAGAAGACTGCAAATTGGAGGCCAGTTTGGGCTCTATGGCAATTTAAAGCCAGTCTGGACTATGGAGAAAGACTGTTTCAAACAAGCAAATAACGTTGGTTTTGACAAAGTCACAAAGGCAATGAAGAAAGTATAACATTTTCAACAAATAGTATTATAATTGATATCCACATGCCAAAGAATGAACTTAAATGCATACCTAGCATAATATAAAAAAAAACTCATCATGAACCATAGACATCACAGCCTAAAACTATACAACTTCTAAAAGAAAACAGGATACAAGGTCACAAAAATTTTCAAGATCTAACACCAAAAGCACAATCCAAAAGAGGAAAACTTTGTGGAGACTTATCACTTCCAAAGATATTTTTAAAGGTATGAAAAATATCCCACAAGTAAGAGAAAAATCTTACAAAGGATATTTTCTGAGAAAGAACTAGTATCTAGAATATGTAAAGAACCTTTTAAACTCAACAAAAAGAAAACAATCTAAACAGATATAGTGTGGCACAAACCTCTAATTCCAGCACCAGGGAGGCTGAGACAGGAGTATAAGTTGAAGTGCAGCCTGAGCTACATATGAAGTTAAGTGGGTGACAGGGACCAACCAAATATCAGATTAAGCCTCATGGGCCATTGTAGCCCACACTCATGGTATAAATTCAAGCAGTTCTGAACAACAAAAATGAAAAATGTTATAATTCTCCAAGTATCAATATAAATGCTGCTTCTTCAAAAATGTTCTTGACAATGATCTAAATTCTATCCTGCTGCAATTTCTTTTATATCTTTTACTATCATCTGTACCATTTCCAAACTCACACCATTGACAAACAGAGTTGGCAGTTTTCCTCACTTATACATACCATGTAATATGGGTGGGACGACGATTATAATGACTAAGAACGTTTGCTTGTATATTTGGTTTTCTTTGAAGTATAAACCTCTAGGGCTTCCATGACTATAAGCTCCTGGACAGCAGGCACTGTGCATTCCTGTATTTACAGTCTGACTTCTGGCCACAGTGCCTGGACCATAGTGACTAGACAGGATGCTGAATTAACAACAAACAAATGAGAACACAGATATACACTAACTATCCCTTGAGGGCCTGACCTGAATGAGCTCCCAGAGTTTCATGATAGAGGCTATATTTATTTCCCATGTAAATTTCTAAATATGACTTAAACCCCTTATAATTGTTCTCTATTATCGCTGTTATTATTGCTTTTTACCAGTGTTTCTCAACAAGGTATCAAGGATATTTGAATGCAAGAATGCATTGTGCACACTAATTAGATCACTGCAGAATGCTTAGGATTCCTGGACCTGACCTCCTGATGTGGTAGATGTTCACTGTTATGACCTTCACTCTCATTTCTATATGTCCCTTCCCCAGAGGAAAGAGAACTGATACAACTATCCGGCTGAGAATAATTGCTTTAAAGAGGAGAGCTAACAAGAAATAAACACCAATCAACTTAAAAACTGTGATTCCAACAGCATCTTATTGAGTCCCCCAAACCTGTGTTAACTTATCAGAAATTTCTATGTACAAGAAAGTAAATGCACAACTTTAAAAGTAGAAGCAAGGAGCACAGTAGACAGGAGTTTATACCTCTTAGCCACATCGCTGGGTTTCTCTCCTGCTTTGTTGATAATATTACTGTTGGCTCCCATTTCAATTAACCACTGCAAACACTCTATGTGGCCTTGTCCAGCAGCTTTTTAAAAAGAAAAAAATGAGCAAACACATGTAGAGAAAGAAGTTATTGCAAACAGTTTTCTGAAATTTTGACCTTGTAGTAACTAACAAAAGTAGGCTGTGCAAATGTTTTTCTTTTTCACTTATGCATTTATTAGGCATTTAATAAAATATCTACTGTGTTCAGGTCCTGTCCAAATAATTTTAGATACAGAT